CACCCACCGATCTGCCGTGGACGCGGACAGCGCAGTTCTACCAATGGCTCCGCGATGCGCGATCTGCTCACCACTCTTCAACCTGAGCCATTGATAGAATCGTGCAGTCTGTGGTGGATCGGTGAGTGGACTGTCCGGCCCCATGGGGCTGGACCCTCGCTAACGCCACATGTGTGGGGATATTCGTATTTGTATATGAATACCCCCATCTCTAGTCTAGGCATCACTATCTGGCCTTTGTCAAAGTCTCTCAGGTCTTTTTGTTTGCCATATTTCCTGCTTCCAACACGTGAAATTCAAGAACTGACTGTTCACTTACTTCCTAATACTGTATATCCCACCTCTTAACAGGTGTCACTGTAACAATATAACCAATGACCTAATATATCCCACCTCTTGACAGGTGTCACTGTAACAATACTGTATAACCAATGCATTCACTTCACACAGTCATTGGTTTTGATGTTGTGGCTGATCAGTGTATAGCAGGTGACATCAAGATAGTGGAAAGTAAAGAGAAAGAAAAAAATTGAATAGTCTCAAGTCTATGATTCATTAGATTCTCACACCATGATATGTTGGGGGCTTGGAGAAAGACCTGGGAAATCTCTTGGATCAGTTTGGGACTACATTCTGAAACAGAGGGTCTAACTGTGACATGGCTATTCCTTTAAAGATGGAACACTTTATTCCAGAACTTCTGTGAAATAAGTCAGACAACAACAAAATTATTTAAATAGTGCATTATCTGCACCATTTCAGAAGTCACTCATATGAAGCTTCCACTGAATGGAAACTCTCAACAGCTTAGTAATGCAGGATTGTGCTTCTTGCATAAGCACTGCTGTTGTGCAAGCAATGATCTCCATAAAGAAAACTTGCTCTCTTCTTGCACAGTGGCAAAGCTCCTGCAAGAGTCATGATCCCACAGTGCTTAACTGGGAGGGTCTTCCTACTCAGCTGCAGCTACATAGTATACTGGCCAGAATGTTTAATCCATTACTACTGTAACAATGATACCACCACACACTTATTTTATACCACAGCCCACTCCCCAATTACCTTTAAGAGGTCAGGATCAATCCCTTTAATTTTGGGCACTGGAACAGGAGGAAGAATCAGTATCTTTAACCTTGGAAAGAAATATTTATTTTAGTGCATATTTTGGTAGCATGTCATTAGATACATTGATATATTTTTGCACAAACATGGCAGATTCCAAACATTTTCACTCAAAAAAAATCAGAGTAATGGTATAAGAAATTGAGTTCAGCTATTTGGGACTGTGTAGGAGATAATGTTTTTCCAAATTCTTTTTTTAAAAAAGCTCTCTGCATATATAGAGCAAACACATCTGTATAAAATATTTATGTAGTCCTCTCGCCGAAACACTGCTTTATTATATGCAGAGATCCTTTTATGTAGCAAAAGGATTCCAAATCTGGATTTGACTACTACCACTACAGCCATCTAATTCTGTCTCTCTTCATTCTATCTAATTTGGAGAACAGCCGTCAGATACATATTTTGAAAATGCAGCTTTCAGATGGGTATGCCTTTCCAAATGATTGAAATGATGCATGTCATTCTGAACTAAGTTTTAGGAAAAACTACAAAGACTCTTAAATGTGGTCAGGCATTAGTCAACACATATGACTTGATGTCATACAGGGAGGTAATACAATTCTGTACAGAGAGGACTGGAAGTAATCATAGATATAACTCTTCTCAGCGACACTTAGCCAACAAAATGTGGAAGCCAGCAAAAGAAAAAAGAATAAAAAAGAATGAACTACTACTTGGGAATTAAAGGCAGAAGCCAACATAGTACGATTGGTATCCAGTCTATAAGTCCTCTTATTAGAAGCAAGTTCTAAAGGCCTCCAAGTCCCTCCAGGGCAGATTTGAAAGATATGGGGTGGTGGTGCTTGGAGAGGAAGACCTTCTCCCTTCCCACCTCTGCCAGTAGGAGCAACTGCATTAGTAGAAAGGTTTCTCTGGATCCGACCCTAAATTTGCCTAGATTTTGGTTTCACTATGGTGCCATTTGTGATGAGAAAGAACCTTAAAACCACTGTTGGCACTTTCTCAACCAAAGAACTAATAGCAGAACAGAAGGATGTGCAAACTTAGCTTTGTGTCTTTGAACTGTTCTGAACATCTGTTCATTACTGATAATAAACAAAATTAAATGTGGCAGCTCTTGGATGGTTTTGCTCCTTTAAAAGAGTTTCACATGATAACATACATGTGTTAGTACAGCTGGCACAGAGATCTAACACCACAACCAGCTTTATTGTGTGATAAGCTTTAACCACAAATGCTCTCTTACAAGGGGTGCTGGTAAGTATTGAGCCTTTCCCAGAAAAAATTGAGCTAGGAAGCTGTAACTGCCACACTATTCTACATATTCCTCCAGGAAGTCAATGCACTTGCGACATCTGTCCTGAAGCTTCTTAAATAAAATAAAATAAAATTCTTCCGACTGCTGGTGTAACCACTCATTTGCAGCATTAGTTGCCTCCAGAACACTCCCAAATCATCGTCCCTTTAGGTGTTTTTTGAATTTGGGGAACAGATAATAGTCAGAAGGAGCCAGGTCAGGAGAACAGGGTGGACGGGGCATCAATTGAAACTCTAAGGAGGTCAGTTCTGTCATTGTTTCACCTACAGTATGTGACGAGGCGTTGTCATGCAACAGGATGACACCTTTGGAGAGCTTTCCTCGATGTTTTTCCTTGATGTTTTGCCTCAACTTCGTCAATAAAGCACAGTAATATTTTGCATTGATGGTTGAACCCTGTTGGAGGTAGTCCACCAGCGGAACTCCCTTCTTATCCCAAAAAACTATTGCCATTTGCTTCTGCACCAACCTTTGCACTCGGAACTTCTTTGGCCTGGGGGAACCACTGTGTCTCCATTCCTTAGACTGTTCCTTTGTCTCAGGATCATAACAGTAGATCCATGTCTCATCACCAGTTACCAGTTTGCCCAGGAAATCTGACTCGTTTCTTGCAAAATGTTCCAAAACAGCCACCAATGACTCCACACGTTTCTTCTTTTGTTCGGTTGTCAAAAGTTTGGGGATCCATGTTGCTGCCAGCTTTCTCATTTCCAAGTCGTGGTGGATAATGGCATCAACTCTCACACATGATAATCTCAGATATATAGGCAATACTTTTGGCTGATATTTGGCGGTCCTCCATGATCATGTCATGGATGGCTTTCACATTTGCAGGCACAGAGACAGAAACAGGCCTTCCACTGGGTTCATCATTTTCAACACCGAAATGACCAGTTTAAAAATTGACAACCCAATGTTTAACTGTTGCATATGAAGGGCCACTGTCACCCATAGTTTGTGACATTTCCTCATGGATCTGCTTTGCACCTTTCCCTTGGAGAAACAGGAACTTGATTATGGTCCTATGCTCTTCCACACTGAACTTTTCTGAAGGTGCTGCCATGTTCATTTTGGACCTGAACATAAAGATAAGTTAAAATCATAGGTAGTTGATTTTTGCACCATTTAATACAGACAAATTGGCCAAAACACCCTGCAATTTATAGCTTCCTAACTCATTTTTTTTCTGGGAAAGGCTCAATACTTGTCAGCACCCCCTCGTATAGTGACATTTCCTTTGTGCAAATGGGAAACTGTGGATAAGTTAAAATCCAAATAAGAAACTATGAAAATGGTTGAGCTCTCAACATTGTTACAGAATTTACTGGCCCATATTCAGCCCTTGTGGTCTTATGATCGTTGTGTGCTTAATGAGCTTCTGCACGCGAACATTCACTATCCAATTTGTTCAGGTGGAACCTCTTTCTGTTTTAGACAGAATGGTCACTCCTTACAATAGGGCAAGCTGGAGATGGTGTCTACTTTGAACAGGCTACTGTCATTAAATTCACACAATACATTAGACACAAGAAATACATAGAATAGGAAGTGTGGGTTACATTAAGCATGTAGGACAACAGCTAGCTAGTTCTAGACTTTGGTAAGTTAATTTTGAAAAGGAAGCATCACCATGATTTGTTTTTCAGGATTCCTCATACACCTGGGTTACTTGTTTTCGTACTCATTACTTTTCTATTAAAGTTTCAAGTCCATTAAAAAAAACACCCCTCTCCATTTAAAAAGGAAAATAGCAAACTCTTCCAGTGTCTCCTAAAGCAGTGCGAAAGAGTAACACTTAAATTGCTCCTTGTTAAAAGTAATGATTTCAACAATTACTAACAAAGGATAGTAAATGAGTTTTCCTTACTCCAAGGAACAACACATTGCTCTTAATGTCACCACCACCTGTAATGTGTTACTTCTAAATTTCCAATGTCAAAATGCAATCCAACTTTACAATACAGTGGTGCCTTGCTAGACAGTTACCCCGTATGACAGTCTTTTCGCTAGACATTAGCTTTTTGCCATCGCTATAGCGATTCACAAAACAGAGATTCCTATGGGGGAATTTCGCTGGACAATATTTGGTCCCTGCTTCGCAAACCAATTTTTGCTAGACAACAATTTTGACAGCTCCCTCCATGCTTGCAAAAAGGGTGTTTTCAGGACCCAAGCCTTGCAAGACAGCTATTTAAACTGCTGATCGGCAGTTCGCAAAGCGGCTTTCCTATGGCCGATCTTTGCTAGACAACGACGATTCTTCCCCATTGGAATGCATTAAACAGGTTTCAATGCATTCCAATGGGGAAATGCTTTTCGCTAGATGATGATTTCGCTAAACAGCAATTTCAGTGGAATGGATTATCATCATCTAGCGAGGCACCACTGTATTTCTACCACATCCCTATTAGTAGTGGTGTCATTGGGGACACATCATTTATATTTGGAAGGTGCTGTGGTTCTGGTGTATTATGGACATGAATGGAAAAGGTGACAACAATAAAAAGAAATGTGAGCTTTTCTTTTGACCTCTGATACTACTTTTGGCAATTAAATTCATGAAAAAAAGGAGAATGACATTCCTCGGACCCCGATTATGGAAAAGGAACTTCTGTTCAATTATTGATACATACAAATACTGTAGATATTAAGGGAAACCAGATAGCTAACTTAATTGAAATAGCCGATTAAAATGCCTACACTGGTTAAAGCCACTAGCAAAAAAAGAGAGAACTTGCAGGCTTAGACAGTCTTTCCTACTGTGCTTGCACAGTGAGGGGAAAACTATACATGTCATTATATCAAATACATCCTCTAAAATGGAAATAGTGTCTATAGCATCTGGCAAAGTCTGATCAAAATAGTTGCTGCAGTGCCCATGGAGTAAGGATTTAACTCTACTCTTCATGCTGTGATTTGCAGTTAACATCTCTCCACTGGAATTCATTTTTTGAGAGTTCTCGCATCAGAACTACAGAAAGATTTTCTTCAAAGACAAATACCAGCTACACAGCAGGGATTAGCTTCAGACTTTCAGAGGGGATGTAAGGCTTAATCCCCCTCCCAGCTGCTGCAGTCCTAATTATCTGTACCTCTCAGTTTATGTTACTCACATTTTTAAAAGCCTGTATTTGGAATGCATAGACACAGTTTACTTCTGTAGTTTAGCCCTGAGGCATATTTTACCTTGTAGTGGCACCGCTGTATCCTGATAACAGGATCATAAGCCCGATTATTCCACTTCCCCTGCCTGCATGTACTACATAATGGCTGATGTCACTTATGTATTAAGGCAAATCCAGAAATAATAGCCTTCATTTCATTTTTTTTACAGATGTGAAAGGGGATGTCTTCAAAACTGATCAAGTCATATGAGAATCTAGGGATCTTTTCTTCTACTTCCTCTTCTCTCCTAATCCAAGGGTGAACAACATCTGGTTATCCACATTTCATTGCATGAACATTCATCCATTGCTAGCTGTGCTGTGTAAGGTTGATGAGAGTTATAGTTCAACATCTGAGGGACAGGAACTGCCCACCTCGTATCTGATCACTCCTGTTTATAAATTGTTATAAATCTCTCTTTTCAGTGACACAGAATGCCATGATTGAATTTCACCTTCACGTTTTTAAAAATGCACGCAGCATCAATTGGGCAAACATAGCAACAGATTCTGTGAACGGTTTGCTTCCTGCAAATCAGCGTTTTCTGATCGAAGTCAAACAATCTAATCTGACAGCAAACCGCTGACTAGTCTGAATGGTAAAATTACTATGGTAGCAGCCTGCTTTTGTGAGGTTAGACTCGGAGGTTCATGTGGGAGCATGAGCCGCAATGACAGATTAAATTGCAGGTGCAATATTTTATTATGTTACATGAATAATCTGGTCATGGGAACTTTCTATTAGTGCAAAGTAGAGATGGTCATGAACCAGAAAAATGATGAATCGGGTTGGTTTATAGTTTGTGGCTACCCATGAACCATCACTGAACCCCAGAAAAAATTAACTGGTTTGTGACTCATTTATTAGCTTTGTGCTTGGGGGGAGGGGAACCTAATTCCTCCTCCCTCATCAACACTCTACATGCTCCTGAATCCTTTTCTTTTTCCTCTTCTACTATTTCTATCTTCAGAGACACTGGCCCAGTGTCATTTCTGGGAGCTGGGCCTGCTGTCCCTGCACATGCACAGAGACAGCAGTGGCGGCCTAGAAAGAAGAGCAGGCAACAGGAGCAGGTAGAGATTCAACAGGGACAGAGGGAGGGGTGAGCTGAAGCAAATGAAGTGCCGGATGAAAAAAGTTCAGCACTTTGTTTTGCTTTCGCAAAATGGGATCCATATACCGAACCACGGACCATTCCAGTTTGTGGTTTTTTTTCAGAGTCATCATTTGGTTCATGCCCATCTCTAATGCAAGGTGATTATCAAAGCCTGTACTCTCCAGTTCCCTCTAGTGGCTGATGACGAACCATTTCAGTTTGTGTTTTTTTTTTCAGAGTCGTCATTTGGTTCATGCCCATCTCTAGCGCAAGATGATTATCAAAGCCAGTACTCTCCAGTTCCCTCTAGTGGCTGATACTGATATTGCAACTTGGAAATATTTACAGAGATACAAAAAGAAAAGGGAAAAATGAGGGGGGGGGGAAGCAAGCAACCAAATAATACTTTCCTTGCCTCTTAGGACTTATAAGAGAATGACACAAAACCTGGAATCCTCTGTCATAATAGTACTGAAACTGCCAATGCCCCTTTAAAAGTAATGTTTGAAAGTAACCAGGTGTTACTTGTTACTTAGCTCATACCCATTATAATGAGAAGTAACTTTGTAACTACTAATTGTTTGCTACTTCCAAAATATCTGCATAATTGACTTTGCTATATTATTCCAATTAATTAGTTATGTTACTTGTTACTTCACCCTCTGGTGATCACTGGTGTTTCATCAGAATTCTCCGACATTCTTCCCTGTGCTATGGACCTCAAGACATGTTCCTCTTTAACCCCAATTAATCCCAGCTAACATGACAGTTGGCCTCTTTAAAAACCAGAGAAATGTGTCATCTTCCTATCAACAGAGAAATTCAGTTTGTCCTCTCTATGTTACACTAAAGAATTGCAGTGCAAAAGCAAATGTTGTGACTTGGGTAGGGTGAGTGAAGGTTATGTTTCACATGTTATATTCTTAAAATATTGATTACTACCCTGTTTCCCTGAAAATCAGACCTAACCTGAAAATAAGCCCTAGTATGATTTTTCAGGATGCTTGTAATACAAGCCCTACCCCAAAAATAAGCCCCAGTTAAGTGAAACCCCGCCCTTCACCATTGTGCAGCAACCAGAAGAAGAAGGCATGACTGTATTTGAATAAATGTAGATTGTTGGACATGAAAAAAATAAAACATCCCCTGAAAATAAGCCCTAATGCATGTTTTGGAGCAAAAATTAATATAAGAGCCTGTCTTATTTTCAGGGAATTACTGTATATATGTCACATTAACACTCCCATTCCAATTCTTTGTTATATTACGCCTCATTGATTTTGACAGAGATAATCCCTGGGTAAACATCCATGGGATTATAGCAGAACTGTATTTTTTTTGTTTTTGAGTTACCTATCTAACAAGTAGTAGCAAGAGCTCTACGTGGGGCTACCTTTGAGACTGATGTAGAAACTTCAAATGGTGCAGAAAGCGGCTTCTTACTGGGGTGAGAAAACATCAACATATCTCCCCTACTCTGACTGCCCTGCATTGGCTGCCTGTTCGTTTCTGCATGGATTTCAAAGTACTAATGATGATATATAAAGCCCT